CTTATTGAAATTCACTGAAATTTCGCTGATTTTCAATGAATATTGCTGAAATCATAATGAACGTGGGTCAATTGATTGAGTTTTTCAGAAAAATTTCAGCATATTTTATTACGTTTTCAGCAAGTTTTATTATAATTTTAGCAAAATTTTTCCATCAGGGCATTTCTGCCTCGTATCTACCATTGCTTTCGGACGCACGTCATGATCAATTTCTGTTGCGTTTCTGCTGTTACGTTCGAGCGGCACGTCGTGATCGATTTCTGCTGCGTTTCTGTCCTCACGTTCGAAAGCACGTCATGGTCGATTTCTGTTGTTAGTACATGATGTAGCACGTTGTGTGATATATCTTCTATATTTCTATTGTCATACCGTGACAGCAAATCGTGTTCTTTTTCTACCGCACTTGTCGCGTCATTGATATAAAAATCAGGCTATGCGTAGAAGGTAACATATTTTTGCAATTTTATTATTAGGGCAAATGATGATATATTTCTGTTACATTTCTGCCGGCACACTTTATCGGCAACACGTTACAGAGAAAATTAAGCTTAATGAGGACACAGTTGCATGAAATCTGCTGCATAACCATGATTCAATCTGCCGGCATACTGCCAGCATGCTGCCAGCATTTTGCTTGCTGGGAACGCACTACGTTTGTGTTGACTGTAGTAACAGAAATGTGCCTTTCTCTTTTTCGTCATATAACTTCTTAGACATTGTTATTATTGTGGGGGCCGTGAGTTAGATCGAGTCGGACCTAAAATCGAGCAAAATAATACCGGCGTAGCAACGGAAACAATTAACGACGCGAGTCGCGCGAGTCAATCTTCTGACATACAGCAATGAGATTAGATGAATATTGTATTGCTCTTTAAAAATATATTTATAACATTATTTATCGTAAAAGTGAGTCTAATTGTGACTTAGCCCCTGTCTCTCGATACTTTCGGATCCTACATTATTTAAAAGTTGTGTGACTTTCAGCCTATCGACTAGCGTTTGAGAACATGTTACGTTATTTATTTAATTATTCAATGTTTAGAAAGCATGAAAATATATAGCATATTGATAGCCAGAGACATTTTACTCATCTTTACAATTATTAGTCTAAATATACAAAAAAATTAAGTAATAATATCATTCAATAATTTCAATCATTCATCATACAAAAATTTACATCATTTCAATATTATTAATTTTTCTCAGCACTAATTGGGACACGCTATTAAGGTGTCGTACAATAGTTTCGGGATATCCTGTATGTGCAGTATTATAGAATATTCGTATATATAAGCTTATCAAACAACGTACTGTAATCTAAATTGCGGTTCGTTATTATCCGGTTGTATGCTATCATATCAGAAACGATAACCGTATCAAAAAAGACCTCTATTACTAACAATATAACTTCCCTAAACGAGCAGTCTCGTTTGTCGTTTTAGATCGATTGCATTTCGAAAAGATCTTTCGCATACACATAACGATTACCGCGTGTTTTTTTTTTTTTTTTTATAGACGCGACCAGTTGGCTTTCGTTCGTTAATTCATCGAGATGGATTTACGACGTAGCAAGTATGCTAATTATCGCTACTCCAATTACGTGCAAGAAGGCATCGCGGTGTTGAAAATTGGATCTAATTGCGAGTTCACAAAACTTATAAGCGACAGTAAAACTGGTAGAAACAATAATATCTATCTTAACAAACTCAAAATTACCACAAGTTCGAAAAAGAATGTGTCCAATCAATCGAGTGATCCCGCGATGGAGGAACGAACAAGCTTGCTACAAAATAAACAACTGTACGCGGATAAAACAATACGAACGACAAAATGTTACATTGGAAAGTCTTGCTACAATGTAGGTCACTACTTGCAAGTATAAAACTACCTTTGTTTCACTCACCAATTTTATTGAAACTCAATACACTTAGTGAGAAATAATAGACACGTATTTTTTTATATCGGCAATGGTGCAATTGTAAGAGTGAAAACACCCTTTGAAAGATAATTTGGCATATTTTATTTTGAGGAAATATCTTCGGAACCGTGAGAGATTAAAAAAAAGTTCCTAAATAAAAGTTTTATGATAATTAACATTCTTGAAAACAGTATAATGAAATTTTGCAATAATTTGATTATTTGAGTTTGCAAAATACCCCCACCACCATCAATTAATTTTGCAAAATTAAAAATTTTTTTAGAATAAAAATGAAAGAAAATTTCACGCCAAATTCATCCATATATAACAAAATTGGTTTCCGAAATACCATTTTTGGAAAATAATCCGCAAATAACGTGTCTCGGTGGTTAATATAACCGAGTTATCTTTCAGGTGTTTTATCTTTTAAAAGTGAGATTGGGCAAATATAAAAAAAATATGTCTCTTACAAATAAATTTACCTTTGTGTCACTCGCCGATTTTATGGATGCTAACCCTTGAATTTATAAAAACGAATTAACTCGTTGCATTTAAGTTCATGTTATTAGAAATGCTTTTGGAGATGATAAGAGATTTTCATGTCGCTGAAAACAAATTTAATGTAAAAATTATTATGTAAATGTAACAATTCAAAATAACGAATTCTATCGGATGGCAACCGGATGGCAACCTGATCTATCAAAATAATTTTATCTCGCTCTTTGCCGAATCCAGGAAGGAACCGAGGAGGAGGTGACGAGAACCTATTCCCATTTTCTTCTTTCATGTTTTTATTATTTTTTGTATTTTTATTTTTTATATTTTCATTTTTCTTATTTTTTATACTTTTATTTATATATTTATTTTTTATTATTTTTTGTATTTTTATTTTTATTGTTTTATACTTATTTATACTTATCTATACTTATTTATATTCTTATCATCTCCAAAAGTCAAAAACATCTCTAATAACATGAACTTAAATACAACGAGTTAATTATTCGTTCTTGTACATTCAAAAGTTAGTTTCCACGAAATCGACGAGTGACATAAAGGTAAGTTTATTTGTAAGAGACACGTATTTTTAATATTTGTCCAATCTCACTTTTAAGGGATAAAATACACCCTGAAATGTAACTCGGTTATATTAACCACCGAGGCGCGTTGTTTACGGATTATTTTCCAAAAATGGTATTTCGGAAACCAACTTTGTTATATATGGATGAATTTGGCGTAAAATTTTCTTTCATTTTTGTTCTAACAAAATTTTCTATTTTACAAAATTAATTGATGATAGTGGGGGTATTTTGCAAACTATCAAATTATTATAAAATTCCATTATACTATTTTCAAGAACGTTAATTAAACTTTTATCTAAGAACTTTTTTTTCTCATCGGTTCCGAAGATATTTGCTCAAAACAAAATATGCCAAATTACCTTTCAGAGAGTGTTTTCACCCTTGCCAATTGCACCATTGCCGATATAAAAAAATATGTGTCTATTATTTCTCACTACTCTACAAGTGTACTGAGTTTCAGTATAATCGGTAAGTGACACAAAAGTAGGTACTCGTTAGATCTTTTAATTATGATCGTCTCCGAACGGAGCTCACGCTCATCCAGATCGTACTGCGATCTCATATAAGTCATTGTTCGCAGCTGGGAGAGAAGGGTTCCGGCTTCAGACCGCGGGGTGAGATCCAAGATTTTAACACACTGAGACGGGAGTGCTTGGAGACCGGACGGCTTTTCGAGGATCCTGAATTCCCGGCCACAGATTCATCGCTGTACTTCTCTCGCAGACCGGACAGATATATAGAATGGAAGCGGCCAATGGTCAGAAATTTTCTAAGAATGTTGTACTACATAAATCGTTCGAATTATTACAGTTACCATCAAGAAAAATTACGGATATCGTAATTATACACACCTTTAACTCATTCAGACTCTATATGCATAATTTTGCACAACACTTTGAAGCCTTATAAAATTATTATTTTTTGTAAATTATTGCTCTGCAATCTCTGGGTGGAAAACTTGGAAAATTTGATAAATTGATTTTTTATATTTTTATTTTTATTAAACTCTCACCATTAATAACCAATGTGTAAATATTTTTTTGTATTATGAGAAATAAATCGGGTCTGAAGGAGTTAAGAAAAATTTTAAACGCTATATTTTGTAAGAAAATAAAGAATAATTATTTTGGACTTTCAATATATTCGTGCTTTATAGGAAATCGTGGATGACCCTCAGCTTTTCGTGGAGGGTTTTTCGCGATTCGACGTGCAACAAGGAGAATTAGGAGATTGCTGGTTGCTAGCCGCCGTAGCGAATCTCACTATGTATCCGAATCTATTTTTCCAAGTGGTGCCAGAGGATCAGAGTTTTGAGGAGAACTACGCTGGCGTCTTTCACTTCAGGTTCGGCGAAATTTTAACTCATAAATAACTCACTTATAATCTCTAAATCAGAATGATTATGTAACCCATATCTATTTTTGCGACTTTTTATATATATAAGACTAAATCATCTATTCGTGCATAAAATATTTTCTGCATAGATGCGGTAATGACAAAAAATGTATAACGGCCGTTAACTATAAGCCATCGTGACTTTGGAAACGACTCATCTACATGAAATTTGTGTGTATTAGGTTCTGGCAATACGGCAGGTGGGTCGACGTGGTGATCGATGATCGATTACCTACCTGCCGTGGCGAACTGGTATATTTGCATTCAGCTGAGAGTAACGAATTCTGGAGCGCCCTTCTTGAAAAAGCATATGCGAAGTTACATGGTTCCTACGAAGCGTTAAAAGGTGGCACAACTTGCGAGGCTATGGAGGATTTCACAGGCGGAGTAACGGAAATGTATCAAATGGATCAAACACCGCCCAATTTGTTCAATATACTGCTGAAAGCCTTTGAAAGAAATTCGTTATTGGGTTGCTCGATTGAGGTAAATTAAAAATCGCTTGTCATGAATATAACTTTGTGAATTTATCATTATTTTAAACAGTCTCTTTGAATGATAACGGTCTCTTTTGCATAATATCAACAACATTTTCATTCTATTTAAAATTATATATAATTCCAAACAAGAATGTACTTTTAACACTTATATCAGGTTTTTGACAAAAAATTTGTTATTAAATTGCGGAATTCGGCTAATTTAAAAATCATTTCTTGAACGAGACTTTTTGAATTAACCATTGTTTTATTTCATTACTTTAATTGTGTCTTCGAGTTGTGATTTTCATAAGGTGATGCCAACATTTCTAGTCTACTTTAGACGAGCTATAATCCGAAACAAAACTTCCAACTTGGACTCCTATTTTCAACGACTACGCATGATATTAGAAAAACATTCCTACTATCAAAATTATATTATAACGTGTTCTATTTTTATGAATAAGCAATCATTTAGAAAACTAATAAAACTTATTTGTTACTATTAATATTAACAAATCATTAATAACGTGTAGACGCATTTCTTTTAGCCCGATCCAAACATAATAGAAGCAGAAACACCTCAGGGACTGATACGGGGTCACGCTTATAGCATCACACGTGTAAAACACGTGGAAATCCAAACTCCAAATCAACACGGTACCATACCTCTATTAAGACTTCGGAACCCTTGGGGAAACGAAGCAGAATGGAACGGACCTTGGAGCGATCAGTGAGTGAATTCTATTCATTGCATGTCGATAATTACGTCTTACAACCGAGTCTTATACTTTTATCGTATATCAAATAGATCCCCGGAATGGAGATTCATTCCTGATCACGAGAAAGAAGAGCTCGGCCTAACTTTTGACGTAGACGGCGAGTTCTGGATGTCATTCCATGATTTTACGCGTTACTTTACTCAACTCGAGATATGCAACTTGAATCCTGACTCTTTATCGAGTCACGATCTCGATGCCGGTAAGAAGCGCTGGGAGATGAGCGTTTTCGAAGGAGAATGGGTACGTGGAGTAACGGCGGGTGGATGTAGAAACTACTTGGGTGAGATTTTGACTTTAACTTTGTTTTCCTTAATTTCGATCTTTTTATTCGAAAATTTTTTTAAACGAAAATGAATCTTTTGTGCAGAGACCTTTTGGCACAACCCGCAATATCGCATCACGTTGGAACATCCCGACGATGATGATGATAAATGTACCGTAATCGTTGCTTTGATGCAGAAGAACAGACGGGCGCAAAAGAGAATGGGTGCCGATTGCCTCACCATCGGTTTCGCGATATACAACGTATGCAAAATTTAATTGATGCTGAATAAAAAGTAATTCCACTGAATATAAAGTCTTTTGTATGAGTTAACTGTTGAATTTTTTACCAACAGTTGGAGTACCCAGAGAGGTTACCAAAACCGTTGGACATTAACTTCTTCAAGTACAACGCGTCTGTCGCTCGTTCACCAGCATTTATAAATTTACGAGAAGTCACATGTCGCTTCAAATTACCACCAGGTGTATACTGCATAGTTCCAAGCACATTCGATCCAAATGAGGAGGGTGAATTCTTGCTGAGAATCTTTTCTGAAAATAAGAACAATATGGAGTAAGTCGTGTTACGATATGCAAAATGTCTCAGACGAAAATATGGAAGAAAGTTATTAATTCTGTCATAAATTTTGAATTTAAACTGTAACCTTTTTTTTAGTTTACAAGAAATCCTTTACTTTCAATAAAAATAATGATTCTTGAAAAACAATGATTCTTTCATTTTTCTTTTAAGAAAAAAATTTTTAATAAAAGTTTTATAAGTATAAAACACCGCATATGATATTTGTCATGTTAAGAGAAGAATTTTTATTGAAACTGTTCCGTTTTATTTACAGAGAAAACGATGAGGAAGTCGGTATTGGCGAAGTCGACGATAGGGTAGGAATTGTGAATATTCGAATAAAAAAAACTAACATTTGCCTAATAATATATTAATCCTAAACAGCATTGATTATTATATTTATTTATTATGTACGTACATTATTTTATTTCTTATAATAACGATTTTATAATACAATGAAACAAAAACGACGTCACATAAAGTACATGAATATTATAGGACCAAGAAGATGTATAATACATAAATATTCTGATATACTGTTTAGGGTTAATTATATCGCAGAGAACACGACAAATATATTTTCACATTTTGCACGATTCACGAAAAACGATAATTATTAGTTCACAGCATTAACACTTGATAAGTATACATCACATGTCGGCATAAGTGCGTAATTGTGGATAAATAATACATTTAACTAGTTTTTGCTAATTCGTATAATCCATTAAATTAACCAGCACTGTAGAATTGAGTCTTGATGTCTAAATCACATTAATGCTTACAAAGATCAACACTTATTCGATGTGTCATTTAACTTTATATTTGTGACATCGTGGATCCGTGATAGTAATCTGTTGCTAATACGTAACAATATGCATGTTTATGCCGCTTCGCTTTTAGGTGATTAATTCTATGGGCGATAAGGAGGAAGAGACTAAAAATAACGTAAGTATAGAAAATTGCACGCGTACTTATACTTATATATTGCTCACAATAAAAAGCATTGCAATAAAAAGCTATGTATTCCGTGTGTATATGTTGTGTACAAGAAGTAAAATAAACACTGGATCACATTATTTGACTTACTTTAACACAATCACCTCGGTTGCTATGACTTTCCAAATATAGAATGAGGTAGCAGGAGCCGGATTATAAATTGATATATTTAATTAGCTGTTAAAACATTTTCAATGATTTGGTTTAGTTATTCATTTTGTATACTTATATAACATACGAAATTTATTATTTTATTGAAGTTATGATTATTTTTGGATAAAGCATAGAACAGGAAATATAAAATTTCAGAATACAATTATAATCATTAATTAAAATCTAGAACTTTGCATTTCTTTCCTAATATTATCTTAAATTAGAATTACTTTTATCATTAACAATCTGTTTTCTTTTCTATTTCTAGGTTCGTGATGAACCCGAACAAGATCGTAATACCGAGAAAGTTCGAGAATTCTTTAAAAAACTCGCTGGAGATGACTTGGAAGTAGATTGGATGGAACTCAAAGATATTTTAGATTTCGCCATGAGGAAAGGTGAATATTACAAAACGCTTGTAATATGAAAAAAATATATTGTTACAATCACGTATTATTGAGGAATAAGCCTTGCGAACGTGATGTCACGAAATCGCGATTTTTACTTACAAATATATGAGACTGAAAAATTTTTGTCTAGAATATCACAAGTAAGTGTAGCGTATAAATAAATTATAAAAAGGAATATAGGATGGCAGTGAGTCGAAAAATGTTATGAGTACTTTGTAGGAAAAGCGCTTGCAGTCTGTCGGGACTGCGATATAGAAGTTACATTGGATACAACTGTAACAACCCGAGCAAAAATATATCTAGTAAAACAAATTTCAAGACTAGTAGCTAGATAATAATGACTAGATAAGTTTTCTAGCCAGTCACCAACTCGTGATTGGCTAAATAATCCTATTCAGTCTTTTGAATGCCAGGACTAGTATCTATCTAGTAACTATATCTAGTAACTATACCAATTACCAGGGTTGGGAACGTTACTTTTTAAAAGTAACGCGTTACCGTTACCGTTACTTGCAGTAAAAGTAACTCGTTACCGTTACTGATTCTAAAAAGTAACACGTTACCGTTATTTGAAAAGTAACGATAAAAAAATCGTTACTTTCCGTTACTTTTGTAAAAAAAAAAGTTAAAATCGGCTTATAAAACGAATAGTAAGAGAGAATACATAAATTATACATATATAAAGACAAAATATAAGATATTTAAGCGGGAAGCATTCTTGCATAACGACATAAAGCCCATTCTACATTAGTCGCAAATCGTAAGGTCGCAAAGAAATTGACTAATCATATTCGATTGTTCTTCTTGCGATCGAAGAATAATCAATTATGATTGGTCAATTGGTCCTTGCGATCTTGCGATTGCGACTAATGTAGAATGGGCTTTAAGGACGCCGCACACAAATTGACATAACAGTAACGTAAGACGTACCATAAAAATGGACTAATTACAATCGAGTATTCACAAAAATGGCGATCCTACGGTTCGACGATACTCAAAGTGATTGGTCAATTCTTACGGTACGTTACTGTATGTCAATTCGTGTGCGGCGCCCCTTAAGCGTGGTCTACAATGAGAACTTAAGCCATAAAATTTAAGCTTTAAGTCCTAAGCCGTAAGAAGTTGACTAATCACAGTTAATTATAAGAAAAATAATTGACTGATCAATTTCTTACGGCTTAGAGCTTAAACTTGAATTTTATGGTTTAAGTTCTCATTGTAGACCACGCTTTAGAGGCTTTCTACAATAAGCAATAAGTTTTAAGTCGCAATAAAATTGACCAATTACAGTGGATTATTCTTCTAATAGTCGACTATGATTGGTCAATTTTATTATGACTTAAGATTTATTGTTTATTGTAGAATGGGCTTTACGGAAAGCAGCACATTAATTGTTTATCGTGTGCAAACTTTCGTCGCGTGGTAAGCGTTGCCGCGTTCTGTGTACAGAAGCCACTATAATAAAAAAGTAACGATATAAGTAACGATGAATTTCGTTACTCGTTACTAAAGAAAATGTAATGCCGTTACTTTTTCGTTACTGATACAAAAAGTAACGGCATTACCAAATCGTTACAAAAAAAAGTAACGAAATAGTAACGTCGTTACAAGTAACGCGTTACTTTCCAACCCTGCCAATTACATAGATAGTAGCTAGATGAAAAAAATTACAAAGTAACGAGATAGAAAATCATCGGTAAATCCTGAATAGAAATTGGCTATCAGAACTGTCTAGTAACTATATCAATTATAGTTACAAGTTATTTTTTTTGTATTCAGCTAGATAATTTTTCTGGCAGCCACTAGAAATGAGCATTACATTCCTAGCTAGTAGCGATGTAAGACCCAACTTTTCTGTGTCATTACTAGACAATAACTAGATTCAATTTTTGCTCGGGAACAAGAGCTCACGGAGCTTTTTTGACGGAAAGAACCAGAGAAGTCGCGGCGAGCCGAATGAAACAATCCCGTTTAATTTTAAAAGAAATCAATCAACCCTTATAGAAATATCATACTAAGAATCATTGATAATTACTTATTATCCAGTATTTTTAATACTGAAAATAAGTAATTATCAATGATTCTTAGTATGATATTTCTATAAGGGAACTCAATACGATTTCCCGTGTAACTCGTTCTCGTCACAGCGATGTATATTTGAGCTCCGACAAATAAGCGTTTTTTCCCCTTTACTTATGTCTGCACACGTTATGTCTGTCCATGTGACGACAATCGTCACATGGATAGACAGAGCGGCTATTGCGTAAATAGAGGAAAAAAAATGCTTGCTTATTGGAACTCGAATGCAATTGTCTCGTTACTTTTTATTTTCTTCACATCAAGCGCCGCGGTCGCGGCGCGACGCTGAGTACGTATAAAATAAAATAATGCGATCGTATAAGTTCATCTGGAATTTCTGGGTCGATTGAGTCTTCCGAGTCAAATATTTCAAACACGAAAACTGTAATCGAAAATCTGATGAAAGTTTTCTTATATAATATTTAGTGCGCGCGTAATTTGCACCAAGTTTAATTAAAATTGGTGCAAGCAATACGGAGATCTCGTAATCTTGCCCGCGAAAAGTCCTTTTTATTTTCGCGCAGATTCTCAGATTTTTTCAGAAACACGTACGCACACATACAAATGAATAAGTTTGTCTATCAAGCCTCATTTGTATTGCCAAACGATTCAGCTTCAGATCACACGTATATGTACGCACACAAGCGATGCGCGTTTGTCAGATTTCGTTTACAATATATATAGACTGTAATAAGCAGCATGTATCTATAATGATTATCATTGATTCACGAATTTACGCTAGACTAGAGGAAAAGTTTCATGATCGACCATTAGATACACATATCGAGCTATATTTATAATTTTACGTATATTTTCTTATAGTTTTATATCAATTTGTGCTTGTGATGTCCGCGATCTGTATTGCAAACGTGTAATCTGAATTTTAAATTAATTGGTGAGAAAGAAAAGATTTTCGTAGGTGAAATATTATAAAGATTTCCGTATAGACTGTACGAATCAAAATAAACGTATATTATGTGCGCAATAAATATTAAATCGATCATGTATCTTTTCGTCTAGTGTAAACACGTAAATAAAATAAAATAATTTCATTGATAAATTTAATAAAGTTCAATGATGATTAAGACTGCGTTCCGATATTTACTACCAGTATTCAAGATCTAAAGTTTGTGTCACGTACACATATAGAGTTTCAATATTAGTAACAAATATTGGAACGCAGCCTGCGAGTTCATATTAGAGGAAAATATATATCACTACACGGAGGAAATTTTATAGTAAAATGTGTTACAAATACAGAAATCCAGAAATACAGAAATCCAGTCAAATATTCTATTATTTCAATTGCCAGAAAATTTGAAAAAATCATATACTTTACAAGAATTAATAGAATATAATTTTAAAAGTTGAAAAAATAAAGAAAAAGTATGTACTCCTTGTGGATAAAACTTAGTATAATTGAAAAAAAGAGATAATAATAACAAAAGATATCTTTATTTTAAAATTATTTAAAATTATTTAAAACTGCTAATATAATAAAACGTTTAAAATCACAAATTTAAAAATTAAAGGTGTATCTACGTCAAAGATACATATAGTCTTACCCTTACAGAAATATCATACTAAGAAATACTGAAAAATTATTAATAATTAAGTATTACCAGTAATTCAGTAATTTTTTGACCAGTATTTAATTTCTGATGAATACTGATAATAAAATCACTATTGAATATTGATAGTAATCAAATACTGAGAATTATTGTACGAAGGTGAAAAATGAGGAAATTATAATATTTGAAAAATATACTTCTAATTCTTCATTTTCTCATATCTCATAAACCATTAGGTATCGAAGATTGTCAACACTCTAAAACTTTCGTGAATCCTCCCTCGATAATTTCGATCCCAAAGCGGTATAATAATACCCATCCATATCCTGACTTCGTTAAAGTGTTGCTTAACCTGACGAGCAACACGCGGCGATTCCTAGTGACTCCAACGGTATTCTCACGATTTATGCTTATATAATGTGTCCTTATAATGTTCACAGTATATTAGCAAACACTAAATAATAGTTATATGATTTTTCTTGGTATTTGTTGGATAATTTACTGATAGATATTGAAACAATGCAACATTTGATATGCGATGAATATTGATGTAATGTAGTGAGCCAGTCGTAATTACTTTTAAATTTTTAACAGAATGTTATAATGATTAATTCAAACAAAAAAAAAATAAAAGATCAAAGAAAATCCAAATTAAACAAATCGAATTACTAAATTTTGAAAGAACTTTTAAAAAATACTATTTAAAACAATAGTGTTGTTTCATCACTTACATAACAAAAATTGATCCTAGGTATGTCCAATAGATGTAGCACGAGGGATTTAGTGATATCCAAAACGCGTCTGTGAAAACCAAAATATATTTGTAGAATGTACCGAGAACATCTGTATGTCCGCTTTTTGAACGTCCATAGGAAGTAATAATTGAATATCAGTAGGATGTGCGTAGATAACAATATTTGATTCTACCAATATCCTGAAGATGTTCTTACATATCAAAATTGATTCTAGCCTAAGTAGCAGACAGCCATGATAATGACGTGAATTTTACGTCGTTTATCCTTCAAGTTAACTAAACAATGACGTCTTTTTGATTGGTCCTAAGTCACAGATCAATGACGTCATATGTACGACGTCTTAATGACGTCATTTTTTTAATAAAAAATGACACAACAATGACGTATGACACTTGTTAAAAAAATATATATCTTGCAGAAACGATTGCAACTAGTTAGCTTATTTTGATTTTAAATGAAATTTAGCTCTTTTATTTAATTTCTCACTACTTTCGCACCTGAAAATTTACTGGTCGGACGCGAACTCGAGACCTCACATACCTTCAAGTTCCTAATCTACCACCTTGGCTACTGCGCTATTAGA